CTCTCTCTCTCTCTCTCTCTCTCTCTCTCCACATACATACATACATACATACATACACTTTCTGTTATAAACTAAAGTATCTCTTAGATACTTTACACAAAACTCACATTCAGTTTTAAATATGTTCAAGTTTAAGATTTTCTATTTTTTATTTTTTTCTGCACTTTTGCTTTTTCCCTATCTTCTTTCCTGTTTCTATTCTTTTTTAGTTTGTGTTAGTTTTTATGTGCTTTGTAAAACTTTTAATAAAATTTTTATTTAAAAAATGATCTTAAAAGGAATGAGTTTTCAGTTTTCAGTGTACGATACCATATATTTTAAAGAACTGTGAGCCCTACACAAACTTTGAAGAAATGGCTTAGGTCATAAATTTATTAGATGGTTTTAAGGGTTAAAAAAAAAATTTTTTTTTAAATCTTCCTAACTGGTAGAATGCTTTTACTAATAGCTCAAATAACAGTTCTAATGGGGCAGCTTTATAGAGAAAATGAAGTATGGGGAAAGTGTTAAATTGTTCTCCTTTTGGTGTCCCCTTTTTCCCCTTTATTTTGTTTTGTATTATTTCATGCAGTTCTTGCTGGATACCATTCCCTCTAATAGACAACTCAGTGTCCCATGGCAAGAAAAATGGAGTCAAAATTAGTTCGCAGAGAAGCCAGAGTGGAATCTCGGCATGCTTGAGGAAACCCTTAAGTTTGCAGAAGTACAATGCATATTTTCCAAGAACCATCAGTCCCCCCTTCTGTACACAACCTACTGAGGAGTGGAGATATGAAATGATGGAAAAGAAAAGTGGAAAACGAGGGATACAAATCAGTCTTACCGCTTATTCATTATCTTGAAAAAAGGTATGGGTGGTGAAATGGAATGCTGAAGAGGAATCAGCAGAATGAAACACAATACCATTTTACTGTCATTCCCACTCGTCACTCCTATTTCAAGTCCCACTTTGTCCATTCTTCTTCTTTTATTCTATCTTATTATATAAACATGCACCTCCTTTCTCCTCTTTGGGTTGTTTAAACTGTCACTTAACAAAGCCTCTCCTTTCTGCAAACTTCTAAGTTCACCTTATGTTAATACTCTACTCATCCAAAAATGTTTATCCCTTCTGTTGTAAGGTCTGCTATTTTTTCCCTGTTGTTCTTCCCTCTTCTTAAATGTTTTTAACATAATGTGGGCTGCTGTTTGACTCCATTCCATTTATATAAAAAATAAAGACATCCCTGAGTCAAGCCCTATGCCTGGCTACCAACGAATTTCTCCATACAATTTTCTTGGCAACAGTATATATAAGGGGCTTGCCCCTGCCTTCTTTTGGGATACACTTTTTTAAAACTTATCTTCTAGCCCATAGTCTGGAATTCCTTGATGATTTTCCATCCAACTATTATTAGTAAACCTTGCTTAGTTTCCAAGGCCAGACAAAGTCACCAAGGTGTAGGATTGTGTCTAATGGCATATATCTGCTGATGAAATGGCATCCACCCACGTCATTCTCTTCTATTCCTCTTGTTTGAATTCTCTGATTTTTATCTATGTTTTTTTCCCAGTTCAGAACAGACATTTTAAAATATCAGCTTATAATTCTTCATTACCCACTCCATATATTTCCTTTCCTTGGTTGAACTCATATTCTTGACTATTCTTACTTTTCTATATTCTTTCCTTTCATTAGATTTTTTCCCCTCCTCTTTTGATTTCAACAATGCTTTAATTTCCTTTGTAAGTTTGGCTTTGGCTATTGTTTTTTCTTAAGCGTGTTTATCACAGCATCTGAACTTCACTGAGATGTTTATTGTTTTTGCTTTTTCCATCTAACCTTACCTTTTCACATACCTTTCTTTCATTCTTAAGATGGTTAATTTTTTACCTATTCAAGTCAATAACCTCTATATAACACTCAATTCTCATCTTAATTTTTCTATCCAGCCAGTCTGTCATTCAAACTTTTTGTTTTCATCTTTGGAACATTGGAAAAATTGGTCCTTCCCTTCCCTGTGACATAGCTAAAACCTTCACTGTTTTATGAAGCCTCATCTCCATTACTGCAATATTCTTCTTGGGCTTCATCATTCATATCGTGTACCTTTCGTTTTGGTCCTTAATCCAGCTGCTTGACATATTCAAGTGCTTGTCATTTCAGCCATCTGACTCCTCTTTTTTTGTTCTCTATTCTAGCTCTTATTTTCCTTTCATCTTCACTAGAAACTTCTTTAGGTTACATTTACATCGCAACAGGCTCATGCTGCTCATTCTAATTCATCTTCTTTCTACACTGCCCTCCACTCTCCATTTCTGTTCTCCCTCTCTGCCCCTCTTCTCTGGCTTCATGGTATTGGTTGATTTGTTGATAATACTTTCTGCCTAAAGGATAGCTCAACAAAGCTCAAACACAGTCACATTTGCTATTTGGATTGTTATGAATGGAACTTTGCAATGTTCTGATTAAAATAACCAGAGCCCCTTCCCACTACAAAGTTCTCTTTCTGCTCATTGCGTGCAAAGAAGAGCTGCAAAATTCATTTAAAATCTGTCATCATACTAAAATTATGAACCTTGGGGATTAGGTTAGATGGACTTTTGGTCCCTGAGAACTTATTAGTGATAGACACCTTGATGCACATTCCTCAGTTTACAATTTGAAAGCATATCCTCAACTTATGAATACTGAGATATTAATCTAGCTTATAGTGCAGAAGGAAGCATGTAGGGCTTCTTATATTTCTCTCCCCCCAAATCTTCTTTGAAAAAGCTAAAACACATCATTTTAAAATATTGCCACAATATCACCAACAATATATGTGGAATAGTAGTTAAGGAATGGTAGGTTCAGCTCTTCACTAGGGCATGGGGCTCATTGGGTGAATTTGGGTTAGTCCCGCTCTTTCATCCAAACCTACCCCACAGGATTGTTGTCGGGGTAAAATGAGAGAAGACCTCCTATATGCTGCTTTGAAAAATCTGGGAAAAAATCTGGGATATAAATGCAATAAGTAACCATGCTTTTTAAAAACATGTGTTGTTTTTAAATGTGATTGTTTTTTCATTGTGATTGTATTTTTTCTTATACATTTAATGTAATAAATGGTACAGACATTATGCCATGGTATGCCTCACAAACAAGTTACAAATCCAGAATATGTCTTGAAGAAGGGGAAGACAGAAAAATTTCTAGAAAAACTGTACTGTACAAACCAATCCAATGTATATAACTGGAAATCAGCAAGTCTGAACAAAGAATCTGCTTGTGGCCAAAGAACAGAGATGCTCATCTGCCTTCACAGACAGATAAGTAAAACAAATTGCTGATATATTTACTCAAAAGAATTGGACACAAAACCCTATTATTAAAACCACAAAGTTTTACAAAGCTTCAGATATGTAATAAACTCTATTCAGCTCTGAATTTGAGAGCAAATCCAGAGTTTTTGCTCTTATTCTCCTTTTTTCCAATAGTCAAGGCAGCAGAATTTCCATATTTCTCATAGACACAAACTGTTGCTCTTTCTGGCCTTCCACAGTGTGAAGGCCAGAAATTAAAATGTTCCCAACATACAAGCAAAATAAAATAAACATGTGAAAAGCTGCTTAATTTTCATGGTATATATTGAAATTAGATTTGGGTTCTTTTGTGTAGATACAGATAGTGGAAGAATGGGCCAAGGAGGTCAACTTATGAATAATCAAGCTGGTTTTGTTGAATCAAGCATGTTAAAGATAGGTACTCTATTGTAATCAGTCTGCAGTGCTTATGAGGTACATTAAATACCTATTAAATACATATATGTAAAAGAAACTGAAAAACAAAATCTCTGCAAAATATTACTAAATTTCAAAAAGCAAAGCCAGGAGCTGCCAAGCTTGTGTTACCTTTACACTCCTCACAGCCAGAAGCAGGACTTGACGGGCCAGCTGACAAGCCTGACGAAGCAGTTGAATCTGATCTTCGTTCTTAAGGTCTATTTCGTCCCCCAACTCAGGCGGAGCGCCTGTCGTCACATAGTCTGGCTGCTTTATGTGCTTGGAAAAAAAGGACCAGAAACGAAGATCAGAACACAGAGCATGACAATGGGATCATTTTCTCAGATAGAGCCCCCTGCTTCAGCCTGCCCTTTTGGTTGTCTGAGTGACCTTCCTAAGCCATCGGGGCAAACCCTGAAGGCTGCCTCAGTATTTGTCCCACTGCCCTTTTGAACTTAACGTTGCTTGTTACTGGCAACTTGCAGGGCCTACTAGCCCTGCAGCACTGAAATTCAGGATATCACAGCAGCTTTTCACTCAGACCAAAGGTACCTAATGGCATCTCACTTCTAGTTTGCCTTTAAAAAAAAAAATCCACATTTTCAAAACAACCCAGCTAACTTCACAGAGTTCTGAACTGAGAAGGAGAAATCCTAACCTCTTTGCATAAATCCTTAATCCCATAAAAATGGATCCATGTAGGACAGAACTACCAATGTAGCAGTTGATTTTTCTCGAGTTATTCTATACCCTTGCACATGTATATCATGTATAACATAAAGCGTGTATATAGATCTACGTATATGGATATGTGTCTTCATATGACAGTGCGTGTATAGAATTTTATAAACACAAATACTCCTGATCTGTGAGGTTTCTAACATGAAACATATTAGACCTCAACAATGGCCTGTATTTTATTCATTTATTTATTTGTGAGTTAGATTTCTATCCTTCCTTTCCTCCAGGAGCTCAAGGTGGCAAACAAAGCCCAAAGTAATTGGGACCTTCCATGGCTGATTGTGGATGAACCTAGATCTCTCCTGTCCTAGTCCAACCCCTAGGATAGGTGTAATGCCTACACCACAATGGCACCACAGTGTTCAATTTCTTGGAGAGCAGGACACTGTTCTATTCTTCTTTCTTCTAGTTCAGCAGTACCTAATCACCAGAGAAAGTACAGCTGTGTACTTAGACACAGACTCCATGGGGGACAGAATACATCCTTTTTACATCCATATCCACACTGTAACACACCCACACCCATCAAATTTCTTCCATTGTGGGCAGGTCATTTCTGAGAGGTCAGGGGTTACAACTTAGCTTCTGAACCTTCTAGAGGGTCATATGAGGCTCTCTGGTGATGTCACTGGAAAAGACAGGGCTACACTCCATCATTCAGCACGGAGGAGCAATGGAGCCAGAATCCTCTGAGAGGCAAGCCATTCCCATTCCCAGTCTCACAACCCCCAAAACCTGAAAAAAAATCTCCCATCCCAGGCTTTAGATTAGTCTCAGAAATTGTTAAAAAAAAGTGAGAAGATGGCAGTGATAAATCACTTTCATCAGCTTACTGGAAAGAAAACAACAAGACCGTATCCATGTAGATCTCAGGGGTCAAGCTCCACTCAATGAAGTTTATAACTCAGGAGATATACACACACAAATAACAACCTCAATAATCAAAGCCATCACAACTCAAGTAAGTATTTTTAATGAATATGAAACAACAAAACAGCAATATCACCATGCATTTTCTAAGAATCTTTCTGAATCAAGATCCAAACAATGAAATATACCAGTTGTTTGAAATTAGCTTAAGATACCTATCATGACAGTTGAACAACATTTTTAATATGAACATTGTTTCATTGGGAGTGTGCTAATCAATAAAGCTTATGGTGGATATAACTGTTTTTAGATTTGCAATTTTAAAAACGCACATAAAAAGAATTGCTGATGGATGGTCAATTCCTATTTACATGATTTATAACCAATTCCACCAATTTTTAAACAAGAGGTTAACAAAAAAAGTCATATCTGGGTGATAGCAGCAGCAGGAGTATCAGACTGAAACTGACTGAGAAATTGACTGAACTTTAGCACAGCAGGGACTAGAACACTTTGCACACCAATGTTCCGGTATCATCTCCCAGCCCTGGTGACAAAATCATGATTCAAACTCCTAGCTTTGGGAATGAATTAGATTGATTGATTAATTAATTAATTAGAAGGAATTAGATGATCATTCATCAAACCAACCTCTATATTGACTGGAGAAAGGAGCAACAGAACATTAGAAATTACAGTACCTTAGGAACTGGATGAGCAGGAGACACATCAGCCGGCCAAACTACCTTATAAGCATTTTTTTGTCTGTGGCAAAAAAGATACCTTCTTTGATGAATGCTTGACTGGTGTAAATAGATATGATTAACTGATGAGAAGAAAACACGCTGACAGCCAGTCACGTAGCCTGTGGACAAATATATATGGTACAGTATCTGCATCAATGGAATAGTTAAATTACCTTTTATTACCATATAACTACACTGTAATCACATTAATGACAACAATTCTTTTTAGAAAGTTTGGCTTTATTTTACCCTTGCAAATATACCATATACACAATCAGAGACCATGATTGCGCGATGTGACACTGAGATCTTCTAGTGTGGCCCGAGAGAAGATTAGCCAAATATTTTTAACCAAATATTTAAATTATAAATATTTTATAATTAACACATCCAACAGAGGATCATGGCTTACCATCAGCCACATCATATTAAATTCCAGTGAAAAATTGGGAGGAACCAAGATATATCACATTCTTCTAATTGAGAAAGCGACATACAGCAGGCTTAAGGAAATCAGCTTATTTAGTGTACTAAAAAAGAGGTAATAGATGCCTTCTAGTATTACCAACCATATATCCTGAGTAAAAGTATCCCCTGTTCTCTAAACAAAGAAAATCAATTATGCAATGTTGCCTGCTCTCAAAATGCTAAGCAGGGTCAGTTAGCACTTGGAGAGGAGATCACCAGAAAATCCAAGGATTGAGAAGCTGAAAAACGATACTTGGAGAATCTCCTGTGAAGACACCAGGAGCCAAGCTTAATTCAAAGGAAACTCTTTATCTTTTAATGGACAACCTGGGCATCCATTCTCCCTCTCTTCCTTCCTTCTTTTTTCCAGGCCAATCAAAGTAAATATATTAGGGGGTTTTTTCCTATGCTGATGATTAAAAAAGATTTCACCCAAATTTTACCCCTAAAAAGAAGAGATAGACTCTTTTTACTGGCATTCTGGATGTATTTTTGTAATTATTAGTTCCACTTCATTTAGCCATCATTCCCAATACGCCTGCACAGCGTGCATATGCATATAATATTACAGAAAAGAACACCAATAGTAAGTTAGATTTCAAAACAAACAAGTGGAATTCTGCTTGTGCAATGAAACATCCTTGGCAGGAAGATTAATGGAGCAAAGGGGGCTGCAACAGGATAGGGAAGTAAGAAGAATCTAGTGAGGCTGCTTTGTGCAAGCAGAAGACATCCCTGAATCTAAGCCCCTGTTTGCTATGATAAAGATGGTAGAAATTATACAATACTGTAGAAAAAAAATGAAGAGGGGAGCCTGGCAAAATGATAGCAAGGATGGAACTAATAGAGGTCCTAATGAACAGCAGGAGTGAGCAGCTCAAAATATTTTACTGCCCGAGGCGCTATGCTTTAGTCAAAGAAACATACCGAAAGTCTTTCAGGAATTTTGCTTCCTAAGGTCTCAGGGCTGCTCCATGTTGAAGATAAAAATGCTTTTCTTTTTTTTTTTTTGTGCCTGAGTCAGCATTGACTCCTGGTGACTGCCTGGAAAAGTACCTGCAATTTTCTTGGCAAGGTTTCAGAAGTGGTTTGCCCTTGCCTCCTTCCCAGGGCTGAGAGAGAGTGTCTGGCCCAAAGTCATCCAGCTGGCTTTGTGTCTAAGGCTAGACTAGAACTCAGTTCCCTGGTGTCTAGCCTGGTACCTTAACCACTACACCAAACTGGCTCTAAAAACTACAAACCTTATATAATGATAGCGTCAAAGGCAGCTATCAACACCCCTTCTGCCTAACTGTAAGGTGAGCTGTGCCAAGCAAAATAATCAGATTCTGGATATGCCAGAAGAAACACATACAGTAGAAGATTAGTTGCCAAAACGAAGAAGAAAAACTACACAGATACAGGCATAGATAAGCTAATTAATCAACAAGCCAAATAATAAGCTAATAATTATTAATAAAAATAATATAATAATAAGCTAATTAATCAATAAGTCAAATAATCACCATTATTGAAAGCTGTGAATTATCTTAAGCCCATTCATTAAGGAGCAAGTCTCACTGAATTCATATTTGAAGCAGAATACTGAGTTTGGATATTTGAGGATTGCAATTTGCAGAATCAGTATAAAATAACCTGAATTTTCCAGTTTGCAGGATTTCGTCAAGGCAGAGAAGTTGGTAAAAAACAAGGTAAAAGTCATGATTTGCTGCATAACTATATCCATGCTAAATTTTACAACAGGGAACCCCAACCTTTTTGAGCAAGCATATTACAGAGCACACTCACATGTCATAGGCTCTCTAATTGTGGTGTGGCTAATTACAAAACATTTATGGTGTGGCTAATTACAAAACATTTATGAAAGGCATACAAATGAGGTTCCTTCCTGGCCACCCTGTGTACCACCTCAGTTTTCCTCCTTTTCTTCTGGGCAGAAGGGCACAATTCCAAAGAAATTGTGGTGGTAGCCCATATTGTTTTATTTTTGAAGACTGCCTATGGACTAGATACAGGGACACAGAAACATTCTTGAATATAAAGATTATTGTCATGGCCGGAGCTTGGCTTCAAAACATGCTGGATTTTTATTTTATTTTTCTAATTAAAGTAATAGAAATAGCACAAAATAAAATCGGATGGAGCAGGAAGCCTGGCAGACAGCAAAGGATGTGTCTGTACTGCATAAGCTCCACGGCTGCCATGTTGAGGATCCAGACACCAGAGTTGTCTTATCTGCATCCTCTTGTCTAATGCAGTGATTTGCTTAAAATGTTTCAAAATATATTTTTAGAGAGCTGATAAAAAACACGGATTTCTTTGCTGATAGTAGCTTTTCAATCCTACTAATTTTTCTCCTTTGTAGCTATAGCAGAGACATTTTCCCTTTGCATTTATAAAATATTTGGCTTCTTTTATACTCCCCCCTCCTCCTAGTATTCCACAGAACACATGAAATACAGAATACATGAAATATACCCATTTATTGTAATTAGAGCAGTGGGACACTTCTTTCAGGAGCCCAAAAATACTGAACAAAAGGCCAGGCTGAATAGGAGCTGCCATTTTAAGACTTTCTGCAGGGTTCATAATGTTCTTTCCAGGCTTTGACACCTGGCAAGGCAAGTAAATGAAAATGGCTTAGGTTTGTATAGCACCTCAAGGGATGACCAAGGACCAACATATTACAGGCAACTTTCTTTTCTCCATTTTTCCATGGGCCTAGTACATGGACTGATGGGGAGGAAATGGAGCGTGGGGAGCTTAAACCCAGATCTTTCAAGCAAGATGGAAATATTCAGGGAACATTCTATGGTAACAAAGGAAAGAGGACTACTCCTTGGATTCTACAAGTCAGTGGATGACTCCTAAGTTTGTAAAGATATAAGTGACAGGTTTATGTGACAGATACCTAAACAGATTCATGAAAATGTACACCTTGAGTGTGACCAACATTTCAGAGGGCACCAGTTGAATATATATAATCTCTCATTGGTAGATACACTCTGCAGCTGTGGAAGTGGCATATATCAGCCCAAGCAATATGAACAACCTTGATGTCCAGAGTAGCACAAGTACTGCTGCAAGGTGACACTTTCTCCCACTGATCTCATGAGTCTAAAGTATGACAGGGATGGAAAGTACAATGACCTCCTGAGCCCAGTGTGCTCCTTCCAATGGAGAAAATAGCAGAAGCATCGGAGGGAGAGGGAGATTCAAACTTAGCATCCTTTGGTTCTTCTTCCTCCTTCATTTCAGAGTTGGTTCTCTAATCTTCCCTTTGTACAGACTGCCAGTATTTTCCTCCCAACAAGGAAATAAAGTCTCTTGTCCTAAGCGTGGATTGGAGCAGCAACTCTATTGGGGGCCCCCACTTGGACAATTAGATGGCCAGACTAACTGTAGAGATGCATTCTTTGATCACTGCCACCTGCAGCAGGAGCCACAATTTTGGTTGAGCCCAACACATTTTTTTCAAACAGCAGTCAACTACAGTACAAAGCAAATTAACTAAAGATTGACAGAAGACAATGACAACTCAGTTACATACTGTTGCCCCAAAATAAGGGACATATCAGGAGCCAGGCTTGATTCAAGGAAGTCTTAAGCTTTTTAACCACCTACCTACCTACCTACACACACACACACACACACACACACAGATAAAAATACATTTTTATTATTTTTATAGTAATGTGGCTTTTTCCAATCTTTTGCCATCATCACTTCTCTATTTCCTCTTTGACTTCTTCTCTTCATCTTTCACAGTGCACGCTACCTTATGTAACATACAGTAAATGCCACAAAATTAACCCCATTCTTCTCCTTTATATTTCTTTGTAAAGTGGCCTTATTTGGTCCCCTGGCTGCAGCAATCCTGTTAAAATCTCAATTCTAATTTGTAAATAAGGGATATCTTGAACTTTCTTTCTCAATAGATTTTTCTGTGATTGTACGAAATACTGGTAATTCTCCAGTTCTCCTAAACTCTCAAATTTAGACACAGTCTTTGATCAACTTTCCTTTTCTGTGCAAATTCAAGCCATTTATCAAGTCCTACTGGTTGAGATGCCCCAGAACCAAAAATCTAATCCTCGTAGTTATATAAAACTCATACCAAAAGCACTGTTTGGTTATCTCCCATATGGGTTACTGAAGCCAGCTCTGACAGACTTTCACACCTCTTCTAAGCCCATCTTTCACTCTTGCTGTTACAACCACATTCCTTTTCTCCTTCCTCTTTACAATTACATCCATCCTCAGGTCCACAGCATTAAAATAAAAATACTGAAGTAAACTAATACCAAGTACATAAAAATTAAAGAATTAAAAAAAATTAAATAGTGCAAATACATTTTATAAAATCAAAACTTTTCAGTATCTGATCATTTGGCATATCTTACTCTGCTAATTATAAGTAGGGTAAAGCTATACCTCTGAACCTCACCTCAAAAAAAAAAAAATGGAAATCCTGCTTACACTCTCCCACCTAGCATCTAAGATTTTATCAGACATCCCTCACATGGTTTGAGATCTATTCTTCTTTCTTTGACTTTAATAAAAGTCAATATTCTCAGGATGCTGAAAGCTCTATTCATTACCAGACTCTTTCCTGGCACAATACATTCTCAGGACATAGGAATGCACACAG